AAATGAAAAAAAAAAAGTGGCTGGACTTTTGGGACATCAAAACCGCACCCTAGCCAAGTATAAAAAGGAACAAAAGGAACAAAATCAAAAGAATCAAAGACAAAAGAAATAGGTAACCTTTGCTAGACTTGTGGAGTTTTGGACCAATTTTCATACCTTGGCACTTGGAGCTATTCTTGGACTATTGGACAAGCTTAATGACCAAATGAGACATTTAATCAAACATGTTAAGTGCATTAATTTCTTTTAAGCCTACTTGATAAATTCTATTCTAGTGTCATTCTAGGACTTATTCTCTTGTGTGCTTGCCTTTCTTAATGTGCCTTAATTTTAGTTTTGTGTCTTCTTTCTACTCTTAAGTTTGTCTCATCAATTCTACTTGATTTTAGCCTTTTCAATTGTGCCTTTTTAGTTTTTTTCTTCCTTGGCCTCTTGTACTCTTGGGTTTTGGTTTCTTCTTGACCTAGGTGAGGAAAACTTCTAAACACCACACACTCTCTTGGTGGATTAAGTGGAAGGGCTGTCTGAATTGTGTTCAAGGTGCTTTGGAGGATTGCACCACATCAAAGATTGCATACACCATTGAAAGGCTTACCTGAAAAAACCCTAGTCCACCCTTTGGCCGGAACAAAATTATTAAAAAAATCTTTTTTTTTTTAATTCGACATCTTCCTCACAATAATTACGATTGTGAGGTCACTACTCCAATCGTAGTGGTGCAAATTCAGACCGACCTTTATCAATAGCTACACAAAGTGTTTCAAGTTGAGGCCATCTAATAGATTCGAGCCAAGATTTTAAAAGCACCTTCACCATATGCACTCACAGTCATGTGCAAAATAGATTTTTTGGTTGTAAAATGGTCATTTCCAACCAAAAAATAAAATTTACATTACAATTTTTTTATCACCAAATAGATTTGAACTATTTAATTTAATTATTCATAAATTTAATGGTATTTTTTTTTTACTTTTCCACCAATAAACCACATGAAAATCACACTTTATTTTGTTGGTTCATCCATAAACCACATAAGTCATAGGTCTACGATAGATTTTACCTAATAAATTAAATATGTTTTTAAGTATTTACCCAACTCAAACAAATAATTATGTTTTAAAAAATATAAATTTTAAATTAAAATATATGTGTTTAATGGTGGGATTAGAATCATACAAATAGTCTTAAGTTCGAACATTTTGCTTTGTTTGTAATTTTTACTAATTAAAAAAATGGTTGGCTATTTTTAATTATATTCTCTCTTAAAAATTTAATGGTATTGTTTTTTAAATTTTTTTTTCAACTTTAGTATCAAATTCTCTTCTAGCAGGTTTATATTTTCTCTTAAAAAAATAGTATAAAAAAATTGCTTCATATCTTTGTGTATTTAGTTTTAAAAGTTAAAATAAAATATACTACAGTATGATAAAAAGTAATTTAAATTGAATGAGTGACTGACAATTAAAGTATCCCACCAAATTTGAGTAGTTATAAGGATAAATGAAATAATTAAAAAAAAGTGGATACAAAAAAAATAGATGGATATTAATAAGAGGGTAAGAAAGATTTGAAAAATAAAATTTAAAAAATATATATATATAAATAAAAACGTAAAAAATGATGAGAGAAAAATAATGTTTTGAAAGTTATAGGGATAAAATAATCTTAAAAAAATTGTAACATTTTTTTATATTAATAATATAAATAATTAAATTTAAAAGAACTCGTAAAATGTATAAAATATAGAGTATTTACTCTATCACGCAACGTACTATTTTTTTATTATTATTATTATCTAATAGAATGTCTTCACAAAAGTTCTTGATTCAAGTTTATAAGGCTATCTCCAAAGAAATTCTTGAGTTCTTATTTATTTTTTTTGGCTATTGGAGTGCAACGAACTCGTAAAATGTATAAAATATAGAGTATTTACTCTATCACGCAACGTACTATTTTTTTATTATTATTATTATCTAATAGAATGTCTTCACAAAAGTTCTTGATTCAAGTTTATAAGGCTATCTCCAAAGAAATTCTTGAGTTCTTATTTATTTTTTTTGGCTATTGGAGTGCAACGACATGGCTTTTATGTATGAAACTGGTTCTTATATAAGAACTTGTAAGAGTCAGGTTTTTGAGGAAAAAAGAAAAAAAGTGGATTCATTTTGAAATTCACATAAAGTAAATTAAGGGGATGTATTAGTTTAAGATTTTATAGGATTTTAAAAGACTTTTTTTGAGTAAAAAAGTCCATTGATATTCAATTAGGATTTTATGTCACTTAAAAATAATCCAGTGGTATTCAATCAGGATTTTCAAAATTTTTTAAAGAGTCCATTAAAATTTATCGGTATTGATTTGAGACTTTTTACAACTTAAAAATAATTCATTGGTATTCAAAAATATAGGAATTTTAAAAGATTGTTGTATTAGAGAGATTTTGATGGACTTTTTAGTGATATCTATAAATATCAAATTCATAAAACAATCTCATCCAAACCCATAAGATTTTGGAAGATTGTTTGAAGTGACTTTTCAAGTGCTTCAAGAATTTCTAAGTGAATTTTTCATTTTTTTTTCTATGCTCATGACTCATGTCTTCTCCATTTTTTTTCTCTTGTTAATAATACTGCACTACTAATTATATATAATATTCTACTCCTGTTCTCATTCTATTCTCCTATTTGGTGAAACTTCTATACGTAAATGATAGTGTCATTAATTTGCTCTATTTTTCTCTCCGTTCTCTTTAATTGACTTGCTCTATTTTGCTCTATTTAATTGAGATTGTTCCACAATTATATAACACAAAAAACACTTGAAATTTTAACTTTTAAGTAGTAATTTTTTTTATACCACGCATCAATAAAAGGGAAAGGTGAAAGCTAAAATTGATATCATGATCTCTATAATCAACTATAGATCTTCAAGACCTTGTAATCAATTTAGATTTATTAGAACAATATATATATATATATATATATATATATATATATATATATATGTAAAAGATGAATTTGAGTTAGGGTTTCTGTAAGTAGAATGAGATAAGAATG